CCGGCCGTCGCCGCACGCCGCCGCGGCAGCGCCCGTCTGGGTGCGTTATAGATGAAACGGCCACGCTCGTGACGAGTCTGGGAGCGGCTTAGGGCCATCAGGCCGAAAGGGAGCAGCCGCGGCGGAGCCCCGGGGCTGGGGCACGTGCCGTCCGCTTTAAGAGTTGGCCTGGGCTTGGGATGTGACTGTCTTGCCTTCGAAACTTGGAATGCAATTGCCTGCATTTGGCAGCACGTCCGCGCGATGTAATGGCGATTGCCTGACGCTGCGTACATCGGAATCGCATTTCCTGGCCGTAAAATAATGATCAAACTGCCTTTCATGCCTGGGTATCGACAAGAATGGGCTCGAATAATCGTAACGGAGGTCAGGCTTGCTATAAACTCATGTGGTAGTACACCCCTGTGTCCGGGCGGCCATGTCAATGCCGTGGTGGGGCATGCGACGATGCGGACGGCCCTGTCCGTCGTGGTGGCCAAGACGTAGGAACATAGCGTCTCTGATGACACGAAGAGCGGACCGACTACCGACTGCCGCCGCCGCCTTCGCCGCCACCATCGGCCTCCATTTCTATGCAGATGCGCGTTATCACCCGAAGAGGCGCGGTGTAACGCGCCCAACGAGTGGCGGCGCCGCCGTGGCGGGCGGTGATAGACGCCGCGGATTCGGCATGGGTGCAGCCTGGGGCATCGCCGCAGGCATGAAATTCGGCACTGGGCATTGGTCTGCCGACACGATCGTGCTGAGGCGCGAGAGCGCAGGACCGGACGGGCCTGTCCTCTGTGCTGGCGTGTGGGTTGGCTGCAGTCCAACGAAAAAATACGACAATGAAACGCTGAACCATGCGTCAAAAGGCCACGCGCTCGGCTAGCAGAAATACTCACGTCGCCATTCCTGTCTAAAGTGTCCTAACCTCGCTTAAGGGATGACATCACCATTCACCATCAACCACCAGCTGTGGTTGCTGTGGCGGTCTGCGTCTTCTCCTCTGCTTTTGACAGGGTATCACGATGACGTTACAATAAACTGCGCTCGGTTCTGCTGTATCGTTTAAAATCCATGTTTGCCTCCAAACTGAATGCATTTCAGTTGATGCGTTTCGAAAAGCCGCGGTGAAACCATTCTTGCCGGTGAGCGGAAGCCGCGAGCGGTCTCCGTCGGCTCCCTCCTCACCTTCCCGTAATCGAGTCTGCCAGCAGTACCGCCGGAACATGTCCGACATTACCGCGCGTCCGCTGGGAGGACAGGCACTAACCGCTCCTCCGCTCTCTCTCCCTCCGGCGTCGCCGTCCGTCGTGTCTGTTCTTCTGAGGGGCGGGGGACAGCTGGCGGCGATAAATGTGGCAGTTAGTGCGGCGCTGTCCACCTCCGCCGTCGCCGGCTGGTGCAGCGTCGGCGGGGTCAGACCGGCACTGTAGCGGTCCCGACGGCCAGTGGGAAGCGCGTGCCTGCACGGGGTCAGGTCCGCGCTTGGCGGTTGTTGCAGCTCAGAGGTGCGTGCAGCACCCGTAGATCTGAGGCGATAGGCGATCTAGGCAAATCGCTGTGGGCACAGCTAACTGGTATACCTCGAAATCAGTTGATGTATTTGGTTTGACGCTATGACAAAATTCAGCTTCAAGAACTTGCAGGTGGCACGGCTTGGAATGCATACGCGGCGTTGTTCCCTCGTATATGCTAGTTCTGGCTCTTGCAATACTAAGTACACCTTCAGATTTTGAGAGGCTGTCATACAGCGGTCGGGTTACACGTACATTCGGATTTTACCGCGCATTCTACTGCGCATGGCTCCCCTCAGTATGTTGATCTTTTCCAGGGACTCTGTGAATACGCATTTGAAGAACTGCTCAGCCACGTGTATTGAACGCATAAAGTTCGTTCATTTCATCAGAGATGATCCCAAACTGCAGACGCTACCCAGTCTTACCCGAGGACGCTCTCGAGCATGACGATTTTGTGATTCTCTGCGGCCTCACAAACCGTGCGAGTTCTGTGTCGTTTGCTGGTGTTTTCAGGCTGTCTGGGTTATACCATTGCACAAGTTGGAAAAGGTAAATGGTTATTGGACACATATCCGACACATCACGGCACTGTCTTGCCGGGATGTCACGTTTGATCACGTCTGACAGCAATGTAATCCCATATTTCCGTGACCGTCTGGACGCCTGGTTTGGCTCTGCATTTCCCTATGGAAGCCCTGCCTCAGCTAAACAAACCGGGTAGGTCTAATGAATATTAGCCAACGTTTAATTTATACTAGGAACAAAGAGACAGCTGCTATATCGCCAAGCGTCTTGTTTGTCTTGTCCTTAGGATAAACGAGCAGTAGCCGACCTACAGTTCACGGTGGGAAGTTATTAACACGTGCACGTGTGGCCGGTTGAATACTCTTCGCTCGGGTGGCGCATCAATTGGACTCCCTGAGATCTCAAAACCAAGAGAGCTGGAAATCGGCACATAACTTTCGACCAGCCGTGAACATGGATCAAATGAGATGTTGCGCTTAGATGAGACAGTGTTGATAGTGATATTCCTCCTATTGATAGTGATAGTTATATATAGTGATAGTGATATTGATAGAATTAACAGCAAAATGGACAGATTCTATTCGTCCTTTTTATATTCCATTCTATTTATTCTACGACAAATAAGGCTATTAGTGCTGTCTCATCTTATCTTTTATAAATTTGATCCGAACCTTTTGAATCGATGAGTTTCTGGGATCAGCGCTCACACTAAGCAGTGCTTGTTGTGTGAGCCCGGATCCCCACCATCCGATCGCGCAGTTCCAGGCAACGGCAGAATTTTAGTGGCGAAAGCTTAACGTGCCGCAATGCTCGGCACGGTCCGTCCTGCCCTCTGACGTCAACTGACCTTTAGCGTGACCACTGCCACCGGCCGCAGGCCATACTTGCCAAGGGCAAATAGCGAGCGTCCTAAAGCGACTCGAACCCACCCTGCCGTGGGTGAATGCATCGGAAGACAGGCGCTCTAACCAACTGAGCCACCGAGACGATCTATATGCAGAATGCTCTTGGTTAATACACTTAACAACTTACGCGAGATGTTACGTCTTTTCATGCGTGCATATTGCCACGCCGTAAACCAAGTATGATGCTGCAAGGAAAAGTTCGCTCCTACGCAATTTCAAGCTGAACTAAGATACCAACGGTTGAATCCAATCTGTTGGCCGTGTGTATGTGGACTGCGCGTAGTCTTAAGCAAACAGTTCTGTCACAAAGCTGCAATTTAGCTAAACATTTCACTAACATACCTCGGCTGAACAACTTTCTTCACAACCTATGTTCTGGGTGCCGCGTACTTTACTCGTTTCTTACACGGTGGACCACAACAGGAAGCGACGCAGCATACCAAGGGAAGCGCTCTTTGTTTCCTACAGCCATTTTGAGCTTATTAAGATGAGTGGAGAAAACTTGCGATCCAATAAAGGCGGATGGTTTGGATGCCCGCACTGTCGGTGACACCTCAGCAGTTTTCGAACGCCAAAAGACGGGCTGACACGGCGAAGCGGTGGCCGCAGAAAGCCACAAACGTGGCCGGAATATGACGACGTTTCTGCTGCCGTCAGAGCGCAGCGGCGTTTTTCTAATGGACAACTGCGACGACGCTAGAACAGCCGCCAGTTAGGCAGACGTGATGCACCAATGCTGGCGTTGCGCGTCTTGCTCACGTAGCTGCTGACGGAATTCGGTCGGCGCTGTAAATGCAGCATGGTTACTCAACTCTGTGCGATCAGCCATCTTGAGCTTAAAGTCTAAGAAGACGACATGCGCCAGACCGCGGCAGATATCGCATGTGAGGGAGTCAGCAACGCTCCAAACCTGCTTCTGTGGGGCGGCTCGCAGAGCTCTTACGATCCTCTCGCGCCGCTCCTCTGGTGCCGCAGTCACGTCGCGCAGCGTGTTCGAGAGACGGCGGCGGCTGAAGTCAGCTGCTGGAGCGGCAGATCACGTGGGCGTGACGCGCAGCGAAGGATCTGCCGTTACGTGACGGACTTTGACTGTCCAGCTCCTGTGTTGTATCTTGCCCTGATCATTTCCACTTTTTCTCCGAGCGGATGAACCCCGAGCGGATGTCAGTCTACTCTATGTGCAGCAGGCATCCAGGGTTGCATCGCGGAAATGGTGCGCCCACGTCTTTGGCCGTCAGTTGGCAGTTGGTTAAACTGAAATGGAGGCGGCCATGCCACAGGACTGCGTGGAAAGTTGTAATGTGTCGAATTAACCGTGGCGTTGAACTGGGAACACGCTCTGGGATAATGAGGCCTGTACAGCCTGTACAGCAGCCTACGCTTGCCAAGGATATGGATCCGAAAATCGTCCCCGCAAAACACCTTGTTAAAATCCTGATTTTCGGGCATTTTGCTAGTCCTGTCACCGCGCCTGGCAAATGACTCCTCTGCTTCCCGCATTACGGCCCACGTCCTCACGTCCGTCTTCCATGTGACGTCCCACCGACCCACACCCGCCTCCCACGCGTCGCCCAGCGGCCGCCCTGATCACCTGCCCCCACTCGCGGCTGGCCGCCTCCCACCCCGCCCTGCACGTGTCGCCTGGCTACCACCCGCCCGCCGATGCCCTAGTGACGCTCCGCACCACCCGCCACCACTGCCCTAGTGACACTCCGCGTCACCTGCCTGCCACTGCCCTAGGGACGCTCCGCATCACCCGCCGCCACTGCCCTAGTGACACTCCGCACCACCTGCCGCCACTGCCCTAGTGACACTCTGCACCACCCGCCGCCACTGCCCTAGTGACACTCTGCACCACCCGCCGCCACTGCCCTAGTGACACTCTGCACCACCCGCCGCCACTGCCCTAGTGACACTCCGCACCACCTGCCGCCACTGCCCTGGTGACACTCTGCACCACCTGCCGCCACTGCCCTGGTGACACTCTGCACCACCTGCCGCCACTGCCCTGGTGACACTCTGCACCACCTGCCGCAACTGCCCTGGTGACACTCCACACCCGTTGCAGACCATCACGTACGTCGAGGGACAGCACTGGGACAGCGTTGACGTGATCGACGTGAAGCCGTCGGCGTCGACGGTGGACATCCTGGACGGCGAGCTGCCGGCGGCCCGCTCGTCCGCCAGCCCCGACCGGCTGGGAGCGCCCGACAAGAAAGGTGAGCGTCCCCTGAGGCGCACTGACCGAGAGCCGTCGACCCGGCAGCGCCGTTCACCGCTGGCACTTATCTGCCATTTCATTATGCCTTCGTGCAAAGTGCATGCAGGATTTCGTAATCGGGAAGCACGGCTACACAAATTGTACTAAAACACATGCTTAAGAGCGTGCAAAATATCTGGCATGTCGCATAACAACATCGTTGGTATTTTATCAGCGTATTTTTACGTGTCTGCTGCGATTTTTCCCACCCCGATGGCTCAGTTACTTATAGGGCTTATCCTCAGATTCACTCACCCGTGGCAGGGTGGGTTCGGGTCACTTTAGATGCTCGCTATTTGCTCTTGACAGGGGTGGCCTGCGGCCGATGGCGGCGGCCACGCTGAAGGTCAAATGACGTTAAAGTGCAGTACGGACCGTGCCAAGCACTGCGACACGTTACATTTTCGCCGCCAAATTCTGTCGTGGACCCGAAATTATCCCATCGGATTGTGGGGGCCAGGGCTCACACAACAAGCAATGCTTAGCGTGAGCTAAGCACTGGTTGTTGTGGATGATTCGATCTTTTTGAATGATGCCTATGTTGTATCATAATTTCTATAACACAAAATATTATATTGTTTTTTATTTTAAGCAAGTCCGAACTTTTTGGATGATGGATCCCAGGAATCCATCCATTCAAAAAGTTCTGATGAAATTTAAGACAATTACCTGAACACACGTGCATGTGCGTTCAAAATCGAGGCCTCGTGCGACACGTAGACCCCAGTCCTCCCCTTGAAGACGCCCCAGCAAACGGACCTGCTTTAACATTATTTCAATCTGTGGGAAACTTACGCAACTTAATACGTAGTAACATGCAGAATTGTTTATGTATGGATATCCTGTAGAAGCCATGCATGGTGGCCGCTAATTTTCTTTCCACGTTTAGTCAAAGACTTAAAAGCATCACTGCAATTGCGCCGTATCAAAAATCAACTGTCGGTGGGGATGAATATTTCGTATTTCATTCTGACGAATTTAACCTTTCACAAACATGAGCCGTGTACCTACTATCCTCTACCTCGCATTCATATTCTGATCACAGTCAGCGTGTCCAATATGCAATTGAATGCTCGAATTCTGGTGTCACTTCGTATGCAAAATGGGTTCAGCCGGTGCATTCCATAGTTCATCTCCACATTATGCATCACACACCATGAGAGATGACGCTCCACATAGCACCTAAAAGCCTCTGGGAAGGCCTGCTTCGCGGAGGGCGGCCGGTTGGCCCCGATCGACCCGCGCCTCGCCCGTCCGAGATGCAATAACCTCGTTCACACCAGGTGGCGCTCGTCCCGGAAACCGGGTCAACAGGAATCCCCCGGAAATCGTTTTTTTTTGCAGCGCGTCCGTGGACCATGCCGAGCGGGGCCGGGACGGGACGGCGTGGCGGCTGGACTCACGACGCCCAAACAGCCGAACAGTCTGGGCCGCCTGTTTATTGTGGACGCTACCCCAACGACCGCGGGTGAAAACAAGGTTTAGCGAGGCGGGCCCGGGTGCTGGGGAGCGCCTGCCGCCGCGGGCGGCGGCTCGGCCTTGTTTACGGACCGCCGGCTTCTGAACGCTATCTTCCGTAATGCGCCCCGCCCGGCTCTTGGTAAGCACCTCCCCCGTCGCTTTTCTGCCCCACTCAGCGACGTCCAGACCTAATAACATTAGGGGTGACGATGCCCAGTGCTTAGGAGATTATAGGATGGACGTTGCCATCCATTAGGTTTGAGGTAGTTGTTGGCAAAGCGTGTCACCGAATGGTATGAAATGTAGCCCCAAGTTCTGGCTGAGTTGAAAGGCTGTACATAACGTTATATAGCACGTTCGTTAAAGTGGACATGTTTCTGAATCAACAGCATGCACATGTTCCGAAACGTGACAAAATTGTCATAATAATGCAAAATAAACATTAAAAGAAGAGGCAAGAGGCAAAATAAACATTAGGAGGCAAGGCAAAGAGGCAAATATCGCTTTAACGTTCCCGTATTTCTGTGCTGTAGCGCAGGGTGGATGTCGTATCACTTTGACGAAAGGTGAAAATGCCAGGGCCGTCTGCTCTCTTCAATTTCCCACACCTCCGTTCCCAACGACGACCCACCCAATGCGCATTCCGAACGCAGGTCACAAACACGTCACAAACGCAGCGCAGAGACAGCTGCGTCGCGACGAAAACAGACCACATGTCAATCGAGAAGTGCTCGCGAACATCCAGCGAAAGTGTAGCACACCGTTATCCACAGATGGAGACAGATACACGACCAAGTGAGAAGGGGGACAGGACCATGACCCGGCCCTCAGTGAGGAAGTTTGCATTGGACGCTGGGCGATTTCGCATGAATTCGTTCCGAATTCGCACGAGTTTGAATACGATTTGACACCCCCCGAGGATAATTCTGGCTACTACAGAATACACTGGCAGCCCCCACTACAACTTGAGTGGAGGCTACCAAGAGGAGTCGGCGTGAAAAAACGACCAAAATAAGCAATTATAACTATGACAGCGAAAGTTGGCGCGCATGACGCCGCGCCTGCCATGGTAAATGTTCCACCCAGGCCATGACGCGATCCCAGCACAGCCCAGCCGGCCCATGACGCGATCCCAGCACAGCCCAGCCGGTCCATGACGCGATCCCAGCACAGCCCAGCCTGCCCATGACGTGATCCCAGCACAGCCCAGCCGGTCCATGACGTGATCCCAGCAAACCCAGCCGGCCCATGACGCGATCCCAGCACAGCCCAGCCGGCCCATGACGTGATTCTAGCACAGCCTAGCCGGCCCATGACGTGATCCCAGCACAGCCCAGTCGGCCCATGACGTGATCCCAGCATAGCCCAGCCGGCCCATGACGTGATCCAAGCACAGCCTAGCTGGCCCATGACGTGATCCCAGCATAGCCCAGCCGGCCTGTGAGCGTGGGGCGGCGGACGTAGACGGCCACGAACACAGACGCCATAGCCGGCTAGGGTGCCCGAGAGGCTGGGGTACTGCACGCAGCTTCCCTCTGAGGGAAGGGAAGGGAGCGGCGGGGGTACTGCATGCAAATGTCCACGCGGGTACTATGTATGTATGTATCCCACGCAGTCCCACTCTTTACGATGAATCTCAAACCAAACACGCTGACACACAGGCAGAGGTCTTCGTTAACGCATGGCAAGTCACTTTGTAAAGCTATTCAGCACGCCCGAACGCATCGATTGCACAAAACCTATGCAGGATTTGAAGCACGCGCACGGCGTAGCTGCGGACTTAACGCTTTGATGACTTTGATGCAGTGAGTTTGCATTGACGCACGAGGTGATAATCCTAGTGCGCATCGGGAGTGTCAATTCGTGATTCCGATCTATGCACAAATACCCGGTTACACCACAAATTTCCCCTCAATATTCCACTGATATATCCGGAAAGAATAGAAGCAATAATTATATCAATTCATTTTGATGCTGACGTCGGCTCTGATCTCATCCATGACTTCAGGTGCAGTAAGTGATGCCGCTCCGCGCATTGCGCGCGCAACGCCATCAGTCGGGACGCGTCCGAACTCCGACCCGGGTTAATCGTCCGCTCATGCCGCGATGTCATGTATGCAGTCGGAGCCAAATCACTGAGTATGCATATCAAAGCTTCCCGTGGGATGCCATTGGAGCTCCATCTCGAGAGCATGCAGTGAATACCTGATGCGATGGT